ACTATATGGTTCTCAGATATTATTAAGATGCTCAAATACATTCGATTATACCCACTACTGTTCTTGTTCACTACACTTCAACTATTACTTTCTTGGTTAGCGTTTTGTTTTTTTAACGAGTTAGTTTTCTACGAGATGAGGTCGCTAACCCCCCCTCCCATATCCAACCCTCTCGATTTACCCAAGTTTGAAACCGGTACTAATTGTAGAAAAGCCACAGGAAGAATTCCTCAAGTATATATTTACATATGTGTTCAGTCAACTACAACGTAGGACCAGGCACATATATTCATCGGTCCAGGTTGCCATACCGCATTAGCACAGCAAGATGAACACCGGATTCGTAAAAGTAGTTAATTCAATAGTGATAATATATAAAAGATTGCATATAAGGACATAGTACAGGAAGAAAGAATTAGTTCGTCGAAAGAAAGATTTGAAGCGATTTTAATCTCATAGTTTACGGGAAGACAGTGAGTGTATACACCGACGCCATTGTGATTGATTCTGAGCCATGCCACCTAGAGCCTCTAACCATTGGTCACAAAGTCACGCGGACCCCAACCAAGTAGTCTGCATCTACCAACATGGCTCACACCAGAACTTGGTGACTTCAAGCACTGATGCCACGTTTTGATTTGGCCTCCCCTAACTCTCTTCCAACCATTTCCAACACTAGTCAGCATTGCACGTCGTGGTAATCGGTGTTCGGGCATACGTAACACGTGACCCAACCATCTCAGTCGATGAAAATTCACAACCTCATCAACTGATTTATCATCATTCCCTGATACCCTACGTCTAACCTCACTATTACTTACTGTTGGGGACGACATATCCCCAAAACTCATATTTTGTAATTTTGTCATATCGATTAAATGTTTAAATATTTGAATGGCAGTCAGTTGATGAACTTAACGATTGAATTTTTAAATAGCATACAATTGATGACTCATTAATTATTGTTTAAAAATTTCCTATGACAAAATCGATATATATTTGTATAAATACGCTTGACTTGTATGCTTGATCTGATCTGCCTGCCTGACTTGGTATCTGCTGTTGCTTGTAGAATACACTTTCTACGCCTTACCAAGACTTCTTGATCGAGTTAGCTGAGTCGAAGACAACGGACCAGAATAGTCTATTGAGTCTCTGAATCCTGAGCCTTCGTTCCGTTCCGAATAAGTCGAATCAGTAGTATCCTCAAGGTTAACGAACCTAACAATTTGGCGACGGTGGTTTTGGAAACATGGATCCTTCTAAACTTGAATTATTACTCGAGCAGCAGATGAAACTTATTCAGATGTTAGCAGATGCAAAGCTTACGTCTAATACTCAACCAAGCAGTTCTAATCCTACTACTACTGCACCATCAGTTGATGGTATCGCTAACAGTATCTCCGAGTTTCATTACGATCCAGAATCCAATGTCACGTTTGATATGTGGTTTCGACGTTACGAAGACTTATTCAAGTTCGACTTTGCTAATCAGGATGATGCTTGGAAGGTCCGCTTGCTGCTTCGAAAGTTGGGTCCTAATGAACTAGACAGGTATTGGAACCTAATTCTGCCTCTAAACCCACGCGATCGCTCATTCTCGGACACTGTCCAGTCATTGAGCCAACAATTCGGAGACAACTCCTCACTATTCAATGCGCGTTATCGATGTTTGAAGCTCACTATGAACGAAGATGCTGATTTTCTCACACATGTGGGTATCGTTAACCGAGAATGTGAACGCTTCCGGTTGAAGTCGCTTACTGAAGACCAATTTAAAGCACTCATTCTCATCTGCAGCCTTCAATCACAGAAGTTCAGTGACATTAGAACACGTTTGCTAAGTCGATTGGACCAAGATCCAAAACTAACCCTTAATGATATTGCAAACGAATATCAACGCCTAATCAATCTACAGCGTGACACTACGATGGTCCAGCGTGGTGGTTCAGATCGTGCCGAAGTTCATGTAGTCCAACAACCACGCAACTCGCATAAATCTGCCCCAGCAGCATCCAGTTCAGGTCAAAAGACAAAAACAAATCCTCCTGCTCCATGCTGGCACTGCGGTGCATGGCATTTTGTTCGATACTGTCCATATAAGCAATATCGGTGCAGGAAATGTAACGCGGTGGGTCATAAAGATGGTTTTTGTCGAAAAAAGAAGCCAAGCAACTCCAAAGGTACCAGAAAGCCTACGCCTAGATCCAACACGAATTCGTTGAGTCTAATAGCAAGCTGTGAGAACTCAACCCCAGTTGAGAGGAAATTTATTACCCTTAATATTAATGGGCACCCGTTTAGATTGCAAATAGACACTGCATCTGATGTAACAATTCTCTCACGAAAATATTGGATCAGAATGATAAGACCACGCCTGGTGCCAACAACACAAAAACCACGAACCGCATGTGGTAATTACCTAAGTTTGTTGGGACAACTAGATTGTAAAGTGTCTTTTCACGATTCGACGTTTACCGGTGTACGTTACATTACACCATCTGATCTTAATCTACTTGGATTAGACTGGTTTGACCAGTTATCTTTAGCTGACGTTCCTTTAAGCACCGTATGCCAAATGATGAAACAATCTCATTGAGCTGAAGCATATTCGAAGGAACTACTGACGGAGTTGTCAACCAGCGAACACCATACGGCCGGCGAAGATGCAGTTAGTGCCTCCCTAATGACAGAGGACCGCGCGCAGTGCTACCTAACAACTGCTATTCGTGCTTTGCCAGTCTCAGCAGCTGAAATACAATCTGCATCCAAGAACGACTCCATCATAAAGAGAGCGATGAAATACGTCACTAATGGCTGGCCGCCGACTGGACTCGATGGTGACTTGAAACAGCTTTACCACCGTCGGGACTCATTATGCGTCGTAAACGAATGCTTGATGTTTGGAGATAGAGTAGTGGTACCAGAATCCCTAAGATCAAAGCTGCTAAAGCAATTCCACACTGGTCATCCTGGTATAAAACGAATGAAATCCATCGCCAGAAGCTTTGCTTATTGGCCCCTCCAGGACCAACATATCGTGGATTTAGTAAGCAGGTGCACACAATGTCAGCAAGCAGCTAAGTGTAACGCGAAAATACTACCAGTCCCATGGCCACAGCCTGAGTATCCATGGTCCAGGATACATGTCGATTTCGCAGGCCCAATTAATGGAATCACCTATCTAGTCGTTGTTGACGCCTTTTCGAAATGGCCAGAAATCGTTCCCGTCATGCCACCAACGACAACCCAAACGATGCAACTGTTGACAGAGATGTTCTCCCGCAACGGATTACCGGATATAATCGTTTCCGACAACGGTTCGCAATTCACCTCAAGTCAATTTCAAGAATTTTGCAAACGCCTATCGATCAAGCATTTCCGCTCTCCAACTTACCACCCAAAGTCAAATGACCAAGTAGAAAGATTTGTAGGTGCATTCAAGAGAGCTCTAATGAAGTCGAAAGGGGAGGGGACGCCAGTAGAAACACTGCAGAATTTCTTGTTTGTTTACCGAACAACACCTAGTGATATGCTACCACAGCAGAAGTCCCCGGCAGAGATCCTGATGGGCAGGAAATTGAGGACGATCCATAGTCTGATGTGCCCAAGAACCACACCACCACCATCTCAGACCGAATCTAAGAAGCTGCCAGTGTACGAGGTTGGGTGCCCGGTGCTCGCTCAAGACTTCAGAGCAAATCATGGTCCTTGGACTGAAGCATGTCTGGTTGGAAGACTAGGCCAAGTTAGGCACGAGGTAAAGATGATAAGAGACACGTGGACTAGACACATGAATCAACTACGGAAGCGGATAGCCTCGGACCGCCAATCATAAGGAGAAAATCTTCCCCTCGACATCTTGCATGATACCTTCAACTTACCACCAGCCCCACCACGAGAAGAAGCTCAACAACAATCTGAGCCCCGTCTCAGAAGGTGGCCTCTCCGTCAGCGGCGAACTATAGTCAAAATGCAAGTTGACCCCAGAAAAGTACGCTATTAAAAAGGGGAGGAGTGTTGGGGACGACATATCCCCAAAACTCATATTTTGTAATTTTGTCATATCGATTAAATGTTTAAATATTTGAATGGCAGTTAGTTGATGAACTTATCGATTGAATTTTTAAATAGCATACAATTGATGACTCATTAATTATTGTTTAAAAATTTCCTATGACAAATCGATATATATTTGTATAAATACGCTTGACTTGTATGCTTGATCTGATCTGCCTGCCTGACTTGGTATCTGCTGTTGCTTGTAGAATACACTTTCTACGCCTTACCAAGACTTCTTGATCGAGTTAGCTGAGTCGAAGACAACGGACCAGAATAGTCTATCGAGATTCTGAATCCTTGATCCGATCGACAAGTCACTGTCATATATTCGGCTGTCTCCTTGAGACATAACATATTCCCAGTGATCCCAGCACATGCCAGAAATATTTCTAAGGCATCTGTGGTCAAATACTAGTAACTTACGAGTATCTTCTACTTTTAATGGCCATGTTTCGCAGCCGTAAAGTGGAATAAAGCGAACTGCCTCACAGTGTACTCGTCCTTTAATTGAAAGATGGATATCTCGCCTCAGCCATAGGTGACGTAAGTTGGCAAAAGTCAAGCGAGCTTTTCAAGTCCATGCTGACATTTCGTCAGACACCAACCCACTAGGGCTGATCAGACTTCTAAGATAAGTGAAGTTGTCAACGTGTTCGACTACTTCACTTCCTATCCTTAGTTCAGGTGTTGACGCAGACCACTCCTAAAGCAAAAACTTGCATTTAGAGGAAGAGAAGCACATTCCAAACATTTTGGCATTGTTGCTTAGTGCTACCAAAAGACTCTGCATTTTATCAGCCTCTTCAGCAAACATATGTGTTACTCTTCTTTTTCAGTTTACTCTCTTTTAAAACAAAACAAAACAATCCATTCATTGTAAAAGATAGAATAAATTTATTAGGATAAGATAGTACAATATCATTTACACATACAAATAGTTAAACATTATTTGTAAGGGTTTCAAAATTACGATTAATTTTAGGTCGTTTTTTCATTGATTTCAATGAATGATCATTAAATTTAGAATTATTTGAAGAGTTCTCATTGATTGTTGAATGAAAAGATGATAGTATACTATGATGATCATTATCTTGATGTAAACTATTCGATGTTTTACATATGAACTGATGATGTTCTTTTGATGATAAAGCTTGAATAGAACAAGGAGGAGTAAATCGTTTCTCATCATAAGTAATAATTAAATGATCTAAATGATGATCTATATTTCGTTTAGGTTTAGTGATTTTATCATTTAAGTTCATTTTTTCTTTTGATAAATTACTCTTATTATTATTATCATCATCATCATCATCATCGTCATCGTCATCGTCATCACCGTCATCATCATCAATAGAAGGATGGATAGTTGTAGATTCAATGAATTCATCAATCCATTCATTTCGATGACATTTTGGCATAAGATGATCATAATAAAGATTTACAATATGTTCTAATGTATTTACATTGGATACCTACTTTTTCAAATAAAGAAAAAAGGAATTAGTTAAATAGAGAAATTTGGAATTATTAATCAAACAAAGTACAATATTATTGATAAGTAATAAGGACTGGATATAACATACACCCATCTCCAACACCGGTTAGCATTGCACGTCGTGATAATCGGTGTTCACGCATACTCAACACGTGACCCAACCATCTCAGTCGATGGAAATTCACAACCTCGTCAACTGATTTACCATTATTCCTTGATACCCCCGGGGTTTTTTTCTTCCAAACTGAATGACGATCGGATAAAGTCCATGTTGTTACAATTCTAGGTTATATACCATGGAGAGTCGTCAAAATAAAAGACACAATAAGTTAAATAATTCATATCAAATAATTACAAGTTAAAATAATGAGTTCTAATTTCATTATAATTTAGAAAAATTCCAATCATAGTCATTTAGAACTTAGTTGAAGTTTTAGAAAACCATAGGGATTATATATGCACCAGTTCAAAAGCATCAATTATTTCATCTCTGAGACTATAATGTATAATGTAAGTACAGCCGAGAGTGAGGAGAGTCCACTCTCCTTCTCGAAATGCTCTCACATAGCCACGCATACACAGCCACTCCAAGGGAAGTCCTACTCATTGCCTTCTCGCACCACGGGTGTTGTTTACGAAATTGAGACGACGAAAAACAAATGTCCAGCGCTCTCACTGCGGTGGTGGATATGAGGGATTCACCTAAGGGAGTTAGAAAACCTTGATTTCAAACCAATGGTGCACATGGGCCCCAGTATCCTGAGGGAACAAATAACGTATGAACCAATCGTTGGTCACCTGCTACCATGAGACTGCATCTCCTAACGTTGCTCCACTGCCCTGTGGATCAGACCTTTGGGTCGAAGCCTCTGGGTGTGGTCCCCTAAGAAAATCACCTAATTCGGTTTGGTCACCCGGGCACTATCACATCCCTCACACAAATCAAATGAGATTTGTGTGGCACATATGTATTTTGGTGCCCCCTTGTACCAATATCTGTGTTCGAATAAATTATTTTACAAAGCTATAAACCAGTTATAGATCCTAAATACCTAAATTCTTTGTGAGGACTTGAAGAAAGTGACAAATAATTACTAGAAGAGCATTATATAAACCAATGCAGTTTTATAAAGCTTTCAAGATTGTTACCAAGTAATCTGATAGTGATAATTGTCTTCTAGGAAATAACGCCTCACAATTTATATAGAACTACATTGTAGACTAATCAAAAACTTACCATTAACGTGTGAAACCGGAGGCACTCAACGTGTAAAAGATAATCCTAAGAGACTAGGATCCCAATATTTTTGAAATGATTTTGAACATATTTGATTTTTCACACTTCTTAAATTTAAGACTTTACTCTTAAAATGGGTTTCATTTAATACTTATTTTCATATCACGAGACAAAATAGTTGGCTTTATTAATATTAATTCTTAGCGACCGTAAATTTTGGCATATGCGATAATAATCACTACTTAAACTGATGGGCAGCGATAGCAAAAGTTAGACAATGGGTTGATCCGGCTCTAATTCATGAGCAGTGATGTTCGACTTCCAGCCACTAAGTTGAAGGTCCGAAACCCGCTCTATCTACACCAGTTTACAGGACAGGGTAACAACACCAGCCTTCACAATTAACGTGACTTGAAGAAAAGTAATCAGATTTGTATATGGTGGATTAGTTTTGAAAAAATTCACGAGCTACCCATCCAAATACATGGGATTCATTTGCCTTTGACACTCTCTGTGATATAATGATAATAAGCACCAAGCTTTTAAGTACTTTGTCGCAGGTTTCCGTCGTCCTCTATATTAGGTTTATACAACCTAATAGGAGCTTGAATATTCTATGGTAGTTGTGAATGAATGCTTAGAATCCAAACACGGAAATTTCGAACTAATAGTATATAAAGCCAGATTACACAGCAATTCACTCACTAGAGATTTGAAACCTCGACGTTCAAATATTTCTAGTAGTTGATCTATTGACATTTGCTCTGGATAATATAGATCAACAGTAACACCACATCTAGGCAAATATTCTGAAACCTTTGGCTTTGATTCATTCTTGTCTACTTTTTTCATCTGGTCTAAAATCTGGAAATCTAAAACTCGTTGAAATATATAAAATGTTAATGTTGACATTTTGTGAAAATATATGAGGTGAACATAATAAGATTAACATGGTTGATTTCAATGCATTCTACATAATCTTCACGAGCACTGACTTCTACTCCTCTGACTTAATCTAATGAGTTAGAAATGTAACCAACTAAAAGTCAGTCGGGGAGATAAGAGAGGTATTAGAAGGTGTAGGAAAGATTTGAATGTGACCACCTTGGTCTCTTGTGCTGTTACGGGTATGAGGGCTGATATCACTTCCCGGCTGCCCACACCGTGGAAGGGTATTTCTTGAGGAACCTAAAAAGGAAATTGGATTAGTGTTGGTCTTGACGACCTGGGAGCGTGACCGCAGAGCCCAAGGGACAACTGCTTGAGGCCGGTCGCGCACGGCCTTTTTGTGGAAGGTTTTTGACGTGTTAGCTCCGTTCTTCAAAGGGCCATACCGCCGGAGACGGAAATCCGTGAGGTAAGGTGAGGTGTGACATTTTTAGGGTCGACCTTTTCTAACCCCACCCCTCCTTGTGGGAAGGCAGCATCGCTGCAGATGCTGGTTGTCCGAGGGAAACACCTTACTGCTGTCACACCCCTCTACAGTCAGCAGTACGACTTCGCCCTCAGACCTTGAGTTGCTGCTTTTAGTCTTACCGTTCACCAATCGACCTGCCTGGCATGGTAGAACCTGCAGGAACATATGTTCCAGCTAATATAGCTCGGTTGGGTCATCACGATAGGCAAGCCCGACCACCGCGTCAAGGTAGCAGCTTCGATCGGGCCAACTAAAAGTATTTAGTTCCGAACATAACCTATAATTTTGGTGGTGAGCTGGTGATACTAGTCACAGTGATAAATCAGAGTCAGGAAAATAGAGATCAAATAAGCAACTCAGTGATTAAAATTTGATTAGTTTAACTACTAACACATTGCTCTATTTCGTGATTCATAGAATACGAATAAGTGCCACGTTAAACATTGAAGGGTATAATCTGATGCGTTTTTTGTGTACTATAAAGAGTCTTGACATGAACGGTTGTAGCCACTAGCAGATTGAATGTGTGCTAGAATTGGCTTTGGTCGCTAAAGGTATTTTACCCATATTGAGGTGAAATGAGATGAGTCATCCCACATAGGACGTAATGAATCAAAGGTGGTGTTTAGTTATACAAAAGTACTTCTGAATATTATTGCTTAATGCAGCAGTATTCAAGAAGTTTAAAATTTTTTCTTGTTACTGAATTACACATTGTGAACCCAATGCATAATTTACGGTGATATTTTACCACAAATAAGAGTACGAATTTCATGGCTTACATAGTTCGTTGATGTTAGCAAGTATATAGAGCTACACCCATGCTATTTAATCTTGTAAGATATATCCCCGACGGAATTTGAACAGACAGACTGTCGTAATAGAAATTAATTTGAAATATAAATATGGACAGCGTGATCTTAACTTTTTTAGTAAGACAAATCTGGTATTACACTAAATACAACTCTTACGAACTATATTTAAGTTTAGTTGAAGAGGTTTATCCGTTGAGTTTAAGAAATCAATCTTTTATATAGTCTGTATAAGATCTGTTCAAGGTCCTTAATAGTACTACCCATAGATGATATATTTTAATTGGCTTCGACAGATGAGAGATCACACAATCCCCCAACTAAACAAGGGACTCATTAAACCTCAGATGTCCTTTTTCCATAACGTTTAAACTAGTAAGCCTTACAGTATTTCATGATAGATTCCTAAACTTTATAGTAACATAATAATTTTTAAATTATGTAACGACTAAGCAAGGTAGCATGTAATGCTAAAAAACCAACAGGCAGACGTATGCAAAAGTCCACGTGGGTTGTATGCAGTTTGTTGAGATAAATAAAGTCAGTTATTGCATGGCGTCACACAATTTACCCCACCATCATGATTCTCGTAGCAAGGTTTAGACACGCCAGTGAGAATGGATATTTGACTAGACGATAGAACTGTTACCCCTGTTTCTATAATATGACATGCCAATTCCTAAGGTTTTCACCCTTAAACAATAAATTAGGCATTATCGTGGTAAAGATTGTTTCTTTTGAAAGGAACGGCGAATATTCGCCGTGTGGTGGTTCCCAGCAAAAGGAGCTTATACAAGATATATCAATACACAAGGTTACTAATAATGATATACCAAGAGAGTTAACAGTAAAAACCCTAGGTGTCTGTCTGTAAGTAAAACCAAGGGTAACAAAATACAGTTAGAACACAAATGGTATATTAAACAAACAGATAATAACAGTTATTATAGAATGAATGTTACTTGTAAGCTACCTCGTGAAAATAACAACCACAAATGAGTTCACTTGATTGATGAAGATTCCTCTGCAAGTGATTGCACCAACGGCGTATATAGAAAGACTAAGTCCAATACTATTATATAATAATAATACGTGCCAAAAGTCCAACGTAGTGTCAGAAGGCCTAAAAGGATGTTATAACACTATTATAGTCTTCAATCAAAAACCGTGGCCAATAAAGCAGAAGAACAAACGCCGTAGATAGCGTTTTATATTTTAACCAACGCAGTAGTAGTAAATTTGTATATTAATCCTCAAAATAATTAACATCGTTTTTTTTACCAGTGATACAGAAAAACAACAGATATTGAATAAAAATGTGGTTACATATAAAGTGTGACAAATTAGAGAGAAAATGCAGTTTTTCTTTTGGCTTTACAAAAACCACTGAATATACGTCACCATATAACTCCCCCCCCCCTAGGGCATGCGTCGGTGGAGGTATGCCCGACGTAGAACTCTAAATGCTTTGGAGGGAAAAGTAAATTACACAACGAAAAGGATAAACAAATGTTATCAAAAAAATTCACACGTGTCTACATATTTACGAACCAAACTGTTTCTCTTGTAGTAAAGAGAAACAAAAAAGAATTGTGCTTCTTGCTTTTAATGTATATAAAAGGTTTATTACCAATACCGGAATGTATAATAATAATCATAATAATAATAATAGTGTTATTAATAATAACGGTAATTAAATTGATAGTTCATCGAAAAATGTAAATACAGTGTATAAATCGTGTAAACAATTAGTGATAAACTGAACGAGTCCAACGAAGTTGAATATCGTTACACCATTAACAATAAACCTCATACGAAACGCGTACACATGTAGAGAAAAACATAACGAATATATCAATATCAGTAGGTAAGGTAAGTGAGACGAGTCAGTGTCCGTCCCACTTACCTTAGCCAAAAAACCCATTGATAAGAGTGAAAAATTTACTCTACAGGCAGCTAGTAAAACCAAAATAAGGACATTTGGCGAACAACTCATGACATCAAACTTGGGGATTAAACGACATTTAACCTGGGTGTTCATTATTGCTAATGTCCGCCACCCTATATTAGGTGCAGATTTTCTAAGCTTCTACAACTTAATGGTTGACGTTAAAAGAAGAAAACTTGTAGATTCCTGCACGAAGCTCCAAGTAAAGGGAACTCAGTCGGACCATCACATACATAGTATTAAAGTTGACACCCAAGTAAATGATATATTCGCCAGCATTTTACCTACACTTCCCAAGATGACGAAAATGGATTATAGTGAAAACTCGACCCAACGCTCCGCGGTACATCGAAAGATTACAATAGAAAAGAAAGAAATAGTTTCAACTGACAGGATAAAACCTGCTTTTATAGAATCTGAAACACAGGACAGCCGAAAGCCGTCTAAAGACAGCGGCAATCACACTGCAGTTTCCAGTGTTTCCAAATAATTCTTCACCAACTCCTACGAAATCAATACTTCGTAAAACAGACGGTTCTAAGGTTACAGCTCCCACAAATTTAAATCCTAGTTCCGCTACTTTACCTTCTACAAAAACAACTCGTTCAGGAAGACACGTACATTTTCCCAAACGTTATGTTGAATTCATTACTTAATCTTTATTCTGTCATTTTCTATAATGTGACTAAATATCTATATTAGCAGAATTACTAATAACATTTTTTTGCAAGCAATTTTTTTTTCTTAAAAAACACATTACGTGTGTACTACTGATATTGATAAATTCGTTATGTTTTTCTCTACATGTGTACGCGTTTCGTATGAGGTTTATTGTTAATGGTGTAACGATATTCAACTTCGTTGGACTCGTTCAGTTTATCACTAATTGTTTACACGATTTATACACTGTATTTACATTTTTCGATGAACTATCAATTTAATTGCCGTTATTATTAATAACACTATTATTATGAATATCATTAAACGACATAATAACAATGCACATCAATTTAACACTTTCTAGTGTCTAACTACTTGCTGTCGCAGTATTAAGTGTTCGACAATTAACAGCCTGCCTCAACTGTTAACTCTCAAGGTCATGATTTGAAACACACAAGTTCGTTTGCAGTACCCAATGTTTAACACGGGCATGCACAAACCTATCGATTTCTTTGAGGTCTTTCGTTGTAATTATGGTGCAGTTCATGCTTTCTTTTGTGCTCAATAAGTGTTATCTAGCTATTTGATTGCACCAGATCTAGCCAGCTTGACAGTTATATGTGGATTTGCACATTTTGTAGATTGAGTAAGTTTATCTCAGGACAGTAGGGTTTCTGAATAATATGGCTACCATATTACGACTCAGAAGGCTGGTTAGTTTCAATGTGAAAAAAGAATAAGTGTGGAAATTAGAGAAGGTTATTGCTTCAAGAATAACAAATGGGTTAATTGATTAGTAATAGAGACAGAATCCTTCAGGTAGAATTTCCGCTTATCCCAGGCACTTCTTTTTTGCCCGCAATACGAGCACTGTGTTCGAGGCAACCCGGGATCTTCTCTTTTCAGATATGCGCTTTGCCTGAAGAAGATCATCTGAGATATAATCCGAAATAATGATCACCACCCAGTTATCAATCAATTATGAATGTCCACTACTATCTCCCTGTGGTTATCCATTGTTAGCCTCCACCACTCTCGTGAATATGAGGCGGCTTGAAGATACTGAGTCATTATCGTCTAGTCTGTCTTAATGTTCCTAAAGTAGTAAGCGTCCTGTTTCAAACTATGTATCTCGTTTGTAAACACGCCTAACTTCACTGTACTATGGTCGCTACTTCCTACTGGTATGTAGACATATGCTTATTCAAAAAGAAGATTATCTCTTATTACCAAATAATCCAAGTATGGGGATTTTCCACCATTATGCCAACTTGTTGCATCATACACATGTTCACCAAGTCACGAACTTCTAATTGCTGTGGCAAGTTGCTTATGGAACGACTGTGTAGTGAATGTATTCATCGTGTTTCGTTTTGTTTATATGCTGTTCTCAACCCTACCGATCTAGGTTGGCTCTGACAACATCTGATATGATTGGAAAGGTCAGTTTTTGGACTGTGTCTCTGTTAATTTCCCTGGGTTTCTGAAGTTTACAGCCATCAGACGCAGGGACTTAGTGGTTGTTAGATGTAATGGGCCAAGTAGCTTCGACATGCTAATTGCCATAGTTATGTGAAGAACTAGGCAACGGATAATCAACGGCGACTCCGAGTATTGCTCACGTAAGCCTCGTCCTGACTACCACCAACCAGCTCAGACACTTGGTGGGACACGATACTAGTCGGATTGTGTTTGCCGATATTTTAGTAGTGCGTAACTCCTTTAATCTACGGTCCCTGGAAAGCCGTTGATTTTTCTGCGAAGTGTGCTGGATTTTCCGTTTCCCTTAATGGAGCGGATTTACCCTTTTCTGACTTTCGACCTTAATACAGGTGGCATACTTTTCCTGAAGTGGTACCCTTTCCGAGAATATCACGGCATTTGTCCCATTGTTCTTCATTACAGGTTGGCCTACTATCTGGTAAGCTAGAACAGTTATTATAATCAGGAAGTTTTGTGAAAGTTCTTTGCCTCCCATTTTTAAAGCTTCGGGAATTATGATGTTGCCATTCCTCCTCCCAAAACCCACCCACTGCTCCTTATTGCTAACAGACAATAAGGTATTGGTATCATTCTGTAATTTTGTTGTTGTATGAGTTTGGGTTGCGGCTGCTGTAATCACGTGTTGGCCGAGCCTGTATTTGATGAATTGAGCATAATGGTAGCAAACGATGCGGTACTTTTCAAAGGTGATCTGTGGTTCTATTTTATTAATTATACTGGTACAATATTTCATCACTGATCAAACTTATCGGAACCACGCGCAGTCCCGACCTAACATAGACCCGTATAGATATCTAGGTATTTCTGCATCACAGCGGTTCAAGATGTCATATAAATCTAGTTGGAGCGTTGAGTTGGTGGTTTTAAAGATATATGAGCATGCAAGATAATTATCTTCTGTTTGTTGTACATGTTTAATAAGCTGTGCTACTGGCGATGTGACGACCATAACATCAATATTCGGTCTGAAGAACCTGAACTGAAGGACCTAGTTTATTCGATTAGACCAGACCACGTTCTTTTGTATAGCGTATAGAGTGAATTGAATTTAATTATATCGAAGTAAAAACTCTGTTTTCAACTTCAATGATTCTAACTTGAGAAAGAAAGCAAATTATATCAAGAGCCCAAGATACCTCAAACGATATAGTTTGGGCTATACATTCAAATTTTTCTCTAGAAAAATGTAACGTGTTGAACAGTAAAAGTAATAGTTTGTAGCGTGACGTCGAGTTGAGATTAACTATGAACCGCCACCAAGAAACACGTGCCAAGTAAATCAAAAGGCGTAGGTTGAACGTAACCAAATAAATCCACAAAATCCCTGAGAAGCCAAATATCAGAAGGCAGTTAACGGACCAAATCGAGATATATTCACTGGCGATCTCGTGGTATCGAAAGGATACCGAGATCGTGCCAGGGTACAAGTTTGGTTACAGAACGTGACCGAATTCGCGCGAAGTTACAATCAAAGTGTAAGAATAAGAATGGAAGCACAATATAGCTGTCATTAGCACAGTCAAACAAAAGCACATTAAAACAAACACTGGTACAGTTGGTTATAATAATAATTGTTTTTATTGAACCAGTCATGTTCTGGTGATAAATGTGAGTCACTACAAATTAATAGAGTTTGATACCTGAGAACCAATAAAAATATTCCCTACATGATTGGGTCAGATAACTGTTTACAAGAACTATGGTAGCTTTTACCACCAGACAGTTAAATGTTGATAACCATATACTGAACCACTCCGTAACTTTGATTTTAGTTAAACATAGGTTCATTTTGGAAAAGACAGGTTGTCAGGTGGTGTGCGTTGGTCCTGGCAATAGTGGTCTTTCAGTTGATCCAAATTTCTCATGAGAGCGTCGACAGATGGAGCTTCAGTCGCTTGATGAGGTTGTGAACTCCATTCGTTGATTATCCAGTAGGAAAGTTGACAGTGAGATGACGAGTGTTTTGTTCTGAGCATGTGAACATTTTTAGTGTCCTAGCAAATTCTCTGTTTTGGAAGATAATAAAAAAGACGTATAAGAGGCGAGTTATTCATTAAGTAATTCCGGTATTGTGATCAAGTCTCCTCTGATTCCTCTACATGACAATGGAAATAGATTTGGTTAGCCAGTCGAGCATCACACCGGAGCTGTCCTTTTCTGTGAAACAGCTTAGTCGCGGTTCTCTGAAGCTTTTCCAAGAATTCATTGTCTCTTCTTAGACAGAGGCTAGCCGCTTGTATGCGGTACTCGGGTTTAGGACGAACGAATATAGTATACAGAGTAAAAACGTTTCGGCATAAACATGGCTTAAGACCCTACCTATTTATCACAGAGTTCTAAAATCTTTGGCGGCTGTCGCACGACAATGTGAAGTAGCTTGAAGTTTCGGCTAACGATGACCTCCAAGTCATCGTACGTCTGGACAAAAGGTAGCATACTTTTGTTCAACGTGTATGTATCTGTACCTTGATGACCAGTATGCATTACAATACACTTGGAAGTATTCATCGTCGACTGAGAAACTTTAAACTAGTCAGATAATTTCTGCAGGTTATTCTGAAGCTCTAAATTGTCACCCTCTCTTTTTTTGTCGCTCTCCATATCTTGACGTCGTCAACATATAGCAAAACCTATGATGTCAGACTAGGATGGTCATATACATACAAACAGATTAACATTAGTCCCAAAACTGTACCCTAAGGCACTTCGCTAAGCATAATTTCCTAGTTAAACATAGTTGAGTTCATACGTACACTTTGTTGGCGCCCCACTAGGAATTTTTTATCGACATTAGTAAATTACCTCCAATCCCAATATTACTTGACTTATATTACAGCCAGTTGTGAGGAACCTTATCAAAAGCTTTGCTGAAGTCAGTGTAGGGTACGTCTATAGACTGGATAATTCACTTGCGCCTATACTGTTGCTGTCAACACACTTTCCATTATCGATACCTAGTTTTTCACATAGTTGAACTTAAATGTATTCAAGTTTTCTTGAAATCCAGGGTCATCCCGAATGAACAAATGCAACCCAAATTAGACAGGAACTAAGTATATGAGCGGATACTACTAGTTATCGCACACTTGTGATCCGAACCCGGGAATATGTCTATTCCCACGACGTAGGAACTAGAGCTTATAATGGCCTATCGTCCGTTTACTTTTATGGTGACCCCATAGTGGTGCGCGTAACAATCCACTGAGCGTCATTCGGCGATTGGTGTAACCAGCACTACTAAAGTAGAACTGCGAAACCACAGATTAGATGAAAAGAAGCAACCCTACCAGTATGAGACTAGGAACACTACCAGTTGGATCTCTTCACCAATTTAAATCTTTACTATCACAATACGAGTCATTCTTGCGTGCTGTGCCATACATATTTAAAGCCCTATGATGGCGAGTGCACACCCCTAACAGGATGAACCAAATTTGTACTTCTAGTTTTATTTTCTCACCTTTTCAATTTCTCCTGGTGATCGACTGGATCACGAAGACGTCAACACCTGGGGGGAAGCGCGACAGTTAGCAGCTAGGACGCAGCTGAACGATTCAAACTTCACAGATGATCTGGCTCTTCCAACGCACACACAACAAATGCCGGAGACTAACAGTGTAACAACAGCAGGTTCCAACATACACAAGAGCAGCATATCTACAACTGAAGAACATCTGGAACTCAAAACAGCTGTCTGTCAACCAACACCAAAGTCAGAATTTTCAATACAAATGTCAAGACACTTCTACTGTATGGGGCGGAAACCTGGAGAAATACGAAAGCCATCATCCAGAACATACAAGTGTTTATTAACAGTTATTTACACAAAACACTCCGGATCCGTTGGCAAGACACTATCAGCGACAACCTACTGTGGGATAGAACAAACCAGATCCCAGTGGAGGAATAAATCGGGAAGAAGCGCTGGAAGTGGATAGGACAGATTGAGGAAAGCACCCAACTGTGTCACAAAATAAGCCCTCACATGGAATCCTCAAGGCCAAGGAAAAGAGGAAGACCAAAGAACACATCACGCCAAGTAATGGAGAGAACAATTTGATTGAACTAGAAAGGAAGGCACAGAGGAGTGGGTTGGACAATGCTGTTCAACGTCCTATGCTCCGTTAGGGGTAACAGGCGTAAATAATTTTTATTTTTAAAAAGTTTATCTGCTTTTGAAAGTCTAACATTGAAATCACTTTGTTTTTGGTGTAACCAAAGTACAGACACCTGGAAACTAGATGTTTGTAAATCGTTGTTCATGTAGGTCTTTAATACATCCAAATCAATCTCGTCGTTCAGTTCTATGATTGCACATTACTGAATTATTGAATTATAAGTTGTTGTACAGATTCCATACTAATTAATTACTAATAAATGTGCAATGTAATTATCAATCTTGTAATGAATAAAGAATAACTATACAAAAATATGTGTATAATGATAAATCATATTTGGAAAAAATATAAAAACTTTACAAACTAATTCATGCAGTGTTAAATTTTATTATCAACTAAACCAAATCGTGCTTGACGTTTAGATAATTTTTCAGCATCCGACATACTGTTGTTACTGGATAAAACTAGACCAAATTTTTGTGCACGAATAGACTTTGCTAATTCATCATTAATTTGTGTATTCACTGATGACACAGGTTTACCGAATTTCTCCAAACGTTTAGCTTTACGCTCCAAATCGGTTAACTACAAAGTTTGACAACAAAGAAACTTCAAATTTCTGTGTTGGTAGCATTATAACAATCGGGTGGTTCATCAAATTAAATTACACCAGACTTTTTCAATCACTACAAACCTACGCAATTCAAATTAAGAGTCACTACTTTCGGTACATGTGTGACTAACTTCTTTTTAGTCTTATTTGGGACCAGCCAGTTAAGTGTGGTACATGCACACTATTGTTAATGTTTACATTAAAACTCGGACCTAGCACTTTTCATTCCAAATACACTGGGCTACTGAGACCATATGGCCACTAACTTATCCGACAGATATGGTGTTTATATCACTATCAGTAAGGGTTTTAATCATTCCGTTGCTAAAATGTAAGGCTGGATTTCTGACTAGTCCCAGCTGGTATAAGTGGATCCTGTACGAACTGCCTCAACTCTATAAAATTTGTATAATCTAGCCGGATTGAAGCAATCTGCACGGGATGCATATATGCAACAAAGACTGATTAAAAATGCAGTCCTAAATATCAACAACAGGATTATTCAGACCCTTACTAATCACGATGTAAAAATCTCAACTGTTTATGCACTAGTGACCAATATTATGGATCGGTATCAGTTAGTTTGGAAATAATACTTGATTGCGTGTAATCATTTTTGAAGTTTTCGAAACTATACTCGCTGGTTTTCAATTCATCCTTCAGTTGATAATAAGTGATGAAAATTAACTTGGAATTTCATGATTTTTACGAGAAATTCAACAATCCAAGCAGAAAAAGAAATCGAACAGAGAGAAACGAGTATGTGACTTGAACAGCGCATTCATTGTTGACTGGTTAATTTATAGGAATCAGTCAGTTAGTCATAGAACCTGACACATGAGTGTCTCTGTTTACATTGACAATGTGCAAGTGAGTCTAATTACTAGAACAAATGCCAGAGTATTAGAAGTGTTCTAGAAAAAGGCAAAGAGTAAATGCATATAACCTAATGAGACCGACTCTGAGCTGTGTCACATAACACCCACAGCCATGCAGTCTGGATCTAACATGGGTCAAAATAACAATCAATGACTTCAATGATTGATCCCATGTCTTAATTTGTCCGCCTCTAAAATTTTTCCAACCTACTGCAACTTCACCAAACACTGTGTCGAGATGATGGTTGGGCATGCATAACACATGTTCCAGACACCTTAGTCGATGAAAGCTCGATCCCGCATTAAACGATTTTCCATCTCTTCCTAATGACCCGGGTCTAACCTCACTATTGTCCACTCCGTGGTTCCATGTAGAAGGAATATTCAGCCTATTTTAAAAGTTTTTAGCAATAAGCCAAGGAGATGATAATTCCTAATATTCAATAAATAAAATTTGCTTCTCTTTCAACTACAATACTCTACACCAATGATTTTGCAGTTAGAATAAATTTTTGTAGTAAACGTAGACATATAATTGTTTTAGGTATACAGCCGATCAATCACAGACGGAGCCTTTGACCTAAAGCTCTGATCCACAAGGCAGTGGAGCATCGTAAGGAGATGCAGTCTCATGGTAGCCCGGTTACCAACAATAGGTTCATAAACCATTTGTTCCTTCAGGATCCCCGAGCCCATGTGCACCATTGGTTTGAAATCTAGGTTTTCTAACTCCCTTAGGTAAATCCCGCATATCCACCACCCTAGTGAGAGCGCTGCACATTCGCTTTTCGTCCTCTCATCTTCGTAAACAACACATGTGGTGAGAGAAGGCAGTGAGTAGGAATTCCCTTGGAGTGACTGTATACGCGTGGCCATGTGACAGCATTTCGAGAGGGAAAGCTAACTCTCCTCACTCTTGGCCGTACAAAAGTATTTATTCATTATGATTTTCTGTTCAGTGACAATTATTCAGTTTGGTAAAATTCTTTAGTTAATAATCACTTAATCAATAGATAAATGAATGAATTCTCCTACTACTACTACTATATAAACTTAACTTCACATTGTGAGTAGGTGAATAAGGAGAAAGAGGATATAATTAATCGATATTGAAGTTGGAATTATGAAGTAATAATTCAATAGAAAAATCTATCATTGACATAAAATTCAATGGAATCAATTCATTTTTAATATTATAATACATATATTATAGATGTTGGAGTGATCCAGAAAATTTCTCTCAAAAGACAAGCAAGGATCAGGAAACACTAAGAAGCGTTTCATTCAATCAGCGTTCACTTGAACTTTTAGCTAGAAATATCAAGGAAGTGAAACGTCACATGTGGAGGTTCTGATTAGCTGATTGCTATACTGCCACTATGTTCAGTAGCATTTCAGAATCTTCGAGCAACTCAAAGACATTTAAATTATTATAAAAACCCTATATTTTCTGTATTGAAATGAACCTTGGAGTAAAGTACTTCTCGCATACTTTGCGTCTTCTCTCTCGTTGTTCAGGTCGCTGTATGGTTCTAGCTTGGGGGTTACATAAAATAACTTAGGAAACGAATATAGCGTTCAATTAGCAAAACTTATCAATAGAATAGATTCATTAATACACTAACCTTTTCTAATGTTTTACTAGTAGTAACACCAAATCGTTCAGCACGTTTTTTTAATTTTTCTAATTCATCCAATTTTAAAGCATCATTTGAACATACAGTATTTACAGTATTACTAATTGGTAAACCGAATCGTTTAGCACGAGCAATTGTTTTTTCATCATCGGACATAAAACGTTTAGTACGAGATATTAGACGCTGTATAAACAAACAAAGCAACAAAAAAAATAGACAATCAATATCAAATAATTATCAGAATGGGGTTTGTGGAGATTTTAGAAATTTCACTAATTGAAATCAATTGAGTCAATTGAAGCTAGACCACCATGGAAAACCTAGAAGTACTGGACAGCCGTTTCGTCCGTTTCGACTCATGATTTCAATCAGTGAAATATACAATAAGCAAATTTTTTTCGAGAATAGAAAGTGATATAAATTTTTATTGGAAATAATCATTATGCACAACATCAAGTTACAGTTTAAAAAAAATTTAAACACAAATTCTATAAAAAAACTCATGATGGGACAGCTATATCGAGGCAATCCACACAGCAGTCAGTCAGAACGTAGAACTTTGTACGTACGTACATCAGTTCCAGTTACCATACCACATTAGCACAACGATGCAGTTATCGATTCAAATCACATAATGGTAGAGGTAATAAAAGCATAAGCAGTAATCGGAAAGATTACGGTTTGAAAGTGTTATTCAAAGAGTATAATACAGTGAAATAAATTTGAAAAGAGAAAAAAAAGAGACAAGGAGGAATAAGGAGATCAAAATTTGGGAGAACACAAAGAGTGAATGCACCTGCCCCATTGCAAACGATTTCGAGCCATTTTATTCAAGGTCTCTAACCATCGGTTGCTATGATCTCGCAGTCCCCAACCAAGTAGTCTACAACTACCAACATGGCTCAGTCTACTTGCCAGTGACTTCAGGGACTTGTGCCATGTTTTGGTCTGGTCGCCCCTAACTTTCTTCCAACCTACTCCTATACCATTGAACATCGCACGTCGAGGCAGTCAGTGGTTGGGCATACGTAACACGTGTCCAAGCCATCTCAACTGATCAAGTTTCACCACTTCATCAATTGATTTGCCATCCTTAACTAGTACCCGTTTCCTAACAACTGCATTGCTTACTCGGTGGTCCCGGCCAAAATGAGCAATGCTTCGAAGACACCTATGATTGAATACTAGTAAAATACGAACATCCTCTACTCATACCAGCCATGTTTCACTGCGATAAAGTAGGACGGGACGAACTGCTGCTCAGTAAACACATACATTGGTTGATAGACGGATATCTCGCCTACGCCATAAATGACGCAAGTGGTGAAAGCTAGTCGAACCTTCTGTATCCGTGCTTAGATTTCGTCACACACCAGACCACAAGGGCTCATGAGACTTCCAAGATAAGTGAAGCGGTCGAAATACAACAACTGCTGTATAAACAAACAAGAGAATGATTATTATTACTGAAGTGATTAATCAGTGGAATGTCGCAATTCTACAGAAGGTCAATCAAGGTTTAAACATAGTTCAGTAGTGAACGGCTTCGACTGTAACATTTGGAGGGTCAATTCTTGAAAAATTAAAGATATCCCTTGTTGGTTAATGAATGTTAATACTAACACGAAACTTAGCTCGAATAAGAGTTCCCGTCAATTAATCCAAGTTTAACCAATGAATGTCAAAACATTCTCTATCTTTAAGATATCTCCATCTCAGTGAACGTATTGTATATCACAGTTAGTATTAAAATATGCAGGAACGAAAGTGATTTTGTGTGGAAAGAACAATATCATACTGATAAAGCTCAATGGAGTGGGAGTATGATGGTTGAAACACTAGACTTTCAAGTAATAGATCGCTTTACCTACTACAGTTTGGTCAACCAAGTATCACAGTATTAGTAAAGCCAATCCTTAACATAATGAATATAGCTTGAGGTCATGCGCATAAACTTATATACATGGTATATGTGTATCACTAAATTGGTTAAAATTTTACCTCAGAATCCGACAAAATTTTTATTTCCTCTTTAGCAATATCATGTGAATCATCAGTTGTATGTGCAATTTTCAGAACTTTCTCAACACCAGTCATTGAATCTTTTTCAGGTGTCAGTTCACTGGCTGGACGTTTACGTCCGACAGTCTTATTTGCAGTTACAGCTGGGAAGTTAAGGCTATTTGGAGATCCATTACTATTGCTACGATCCAATGCTGCTGTCGTAGAGTGTGATATATTCACATGGTTAGAATCACCATCTTCATCATCTCCAAGCAGTTCTGCTTCATCGCCAGGTTGTAATAGTACAAATTTATTTCCTGAAAAAAAAACAGATAGAGTAGTTACAAGTATTACAATAAAGATTTGATAAAAAAAACACCATATGTTTATCTTTCAGTAAGTCGTAAACAATGTAGTCTGACACACAATAATAAATGTGTACGGTGGAGAAGATTTGCAGTTCAGGTGGATAATTTTGGTAGAGTTTTGTTCTCTGAGCTGGATGGTTTGGTCGTGGAGCTTTCATCGTTCTTCTGAACGACACCATCAGCACAAACTTCAGATAGAAGTGAAATGTTCGAATTTCTCCATATGTGTTTCACAGCTTGTTCTGTGCACCTCGATGTTGATTGGTTCTTATTGACGTTAAATTTGTCATTGTTTACTTCTTTGTTTTGGTTGTGTCTCCCATTGGTTTGACTTTTTGTTCCTATATTTGTGCATGATTTTCCTGATTGGATGGTAAAATGGATTGAATTCAATATGCTTGTTGATTGCTGATTGACCTGAGTGCCAGGCTTCTAAAAATTCTCTGGTGATTTTGGAGTTTCCTCTGTCTAAGATTTCCACATTTTTCCAATCGAATGAGTGTCCGCAGTTGTCCACGTGTATTGATATAAGTGAAGAGATATCATGCCGTTTGACTGCTAATTGATGTTCATGTAGGCGAAGGTGAATGGGGCATCCGCTTTGACCGATGTAGTGTTTTTCGCAGTTGGCACAATTTATTTTGTAGATGATGTTTGAATTGTTTTCCTTTGTTATTTCATCTTTTGGTTTGCATAAGATTGATTGTAGTGATTTTGTCGGTTTGTGTGCCACACCTATTCCAAAGGTTTTCAGCAGTCTCGTCGCGGTTTCTGATATTCCTGGTATATATCGTAGGGTGATCCTTTTGTTGATTTTGTGCTTGACTTGAGTTCTAATGCTGTGTGCGGTTGGTATTTTTTGATGAAGTTGATGGGGTAGCCGTTCTTCTGAAATACATACTTTAGGTATTTCTCTTCATTTCTTCGTGCTGCCAGTGTGCTGCAGTGTGTCCTCGTCCTCTGAAACAAATTGTGTACGCAGTTGATTTTGTGAGCTCTTGGGTTGTTGCTATTGTAGTTGAGGATTTGATCTGTATGGGTCGGTTTCCCATATACTTGAGTTTCCAGTTTCCCTGTGTCGGTTCTAGTGATCATATATCCAAGAATGATAGATTGTTGTTCGACTCCTGTTCCATCGTGAACTTGATGTAATCGAAAATGTTGTTGATCAGTTTGTAAGTGTTTTCCAGCTCATTCTTTTTGACGATGACGAAAGTGTCGTCTACATAGCGAATCCCAATTTTTAGCTTGATCACTGGTAGTATCGCGACTTCTAGTCTTTGCATCACTGCCTCTGCGATCAGTCCTGATATTGGTGATCGCATTGGTGTCCCTTTCGTTTGTTCGTAGATTTTGTTGTTGAATTGAAATATGTTTTTAGGCATAAATCGATGAGTTCCAGTAGACTTTGAATTTGAAGCTTTGTGTATTTAGTGAGATTTGTGTCGTTGTTGATTTGAATGTCCTTATAATTTGGTCCAAGAATTGTGTGGGGGATTTGATGGAATGGTTGGTTGAATCTACTAAACGTCTCAGTATTCGTGAAATTTCTTTTGACAGATTGTACGTTGGCGTTCCGGGGAGTGCTACAATTGGACGTAGTGGAATGTTTGGTTTGTGTATTTTGGGTCTGCCGTAGAATCGAGGGAGTACTGGGTTATTGCATTTCATTCTCCATTGGCCTTGTTTTGTTATTTCTCCTGCTTTGACTAGCTTGTTTAAAGTCTTTGAGATCTGGTTGTCTAATTTTTTGACGGGATTTGTATCCATCAGTTTGTATGTGCTCTTATCTTCAAGTAGTTCTTCGGCTTTTTGACGTATTCTTCTTTGTCCATGACTACTGTGGTGCGTCCTTTGTCCGCTGATATTATGACAATATCCTTTCTATTTCTGAGTTCCTTCAAAGCCTTTTGTTCTTGTGGAGTCAGTTGGGTGTTTTCCTTCAACTGTTGAGTTAGCGGTACTATAGTTTGTCTTATTTCCTGTTGTGTTTCTTCACTGATTCCGGAAGTTTGAGTGATGACTCTATGGCTGCAAAGAATTCCAGCTTCAAGGCGTCGCTTGTATTGTAGTTTAATCCTTTTTGGAGTAGGCGTTCTTCCGTATTGTTTAGTGGATGTTTTGACAGAATGATCACACAGTTGTTTGTGCTTTCTTCCATGGGTGGTTTTGAGATCTTGATTAGTTTTTTCATTAAGGTGTTTCTTCTTTGTTCTCTGTGTCGTTTGCATGATATCTCGATGGCTGTTGTCAAGATTTCCAAATGTTCTGACGTGAGTGCCCTTTGTAGCTTCATCATTTGGTCCTCTATGACGTGTTGGTATTTGCGGATCCTGTAGTGTGTATTCGATATTACTAGATGTACTATTTTTCTCCCACATTGCTCAGCTATTTTCCATCCTAAAGAGCAGTTGATTGGAGGTCTACATTTTATTGAAATCAATCCAATTTACCAACCAATCAGGAAAATCATGCACAAATATAGGAACAAAAAATCAAACCAATGGGAGACACAACCAAAACAAAGAAGTAAACAATGACAAATTTAACGTCAATAAGAACCAATCAACATCGAGGTGCACAGAACAAGCTGTGAAACACATATGGAGAAATTCGAACATTTCACTTCTATCTGAAGTTTGTGCTGATGGGGTCGTTCAGAAGAATGATGAAAGCTCCACGACTGAACCATCCAGCTCAGAGCACAAAACTCCATCAACATAAATGTGTACTCATGTTAGATAAGTAACTTGGTTACTAATTATAGTATTAAGGCATTCAACTTGGAGCGATACATTTATGTTTTGATGGCTTGTGATGCTACACAATTGAAGTGAAGTAGGTGTAAAGTTTTGAATCCGTGACTTATCTGTAGCGTATTTAGGAAAACCTGTTACATAGAAAATCACAGAAACATATGACCATGTAGGTGTGTGTTATGTTAAGTATACTTGAATACGTGTTACATACAATAATGGACAAATTTTCAAGGTAACTTAAATCGGGATAGCAGAAATAAGTAGATTGTATAGTGCTAGTGCGTTAAAATACAGCTTAAGTAGGATAGTATAAAAATATTTAGCTGAATATTTGGCAATTAGTGTACATGCCAAGATTAGGCTTAGAACATACAGCTAGAAAAAACAGATTAAGAGCGTTGGACAACAATTATTTTTAAATGCCTTTTTTACAGAATCCCTCTTAAGTGAAAATCATTGGATTAAAGATGATAAAAGAACTAGGAGTAGGATGACAGGAAGCTAAGGACGTCCAAATAAATAGCACGAGTTTATAAAGGCAATGAACAGTGGTCTAAGTGATGAAGAGGCGGGTGTAGACTTAGTGATTGAAATCTGGAGGATTATTCTAACCACTGACTAGAGATTTACTGGTATGATATGAAACTGGTTTCAGGTGTGTAGGTGTAGTCAGCCAGTTGGTCACACGCAATACAAAATCTGGAACATATATGGATGGGTTTAAGTCTCTACATCACATCGCAGAGAGATGTACGTAGTAACAAAATTAGAAGTATTAGGAAACATTGGACACAGAAGATATGATTCGACAGAAAAATTATGGATAGGAGAAAGGAAGAGTCGTTGGGAATGATGTGGAAACTTAGGATCTAAGGAGAGAGTAAGAATGAGTGCATTTTCGTTAATGCGAACGCTTTTAAACTACGTCAAACATTTCCAATCATTTGTCACAGCAATCACGTAGACTTCGACTAACGGGTCTGTACCTACCTACACAGCCGAGTTCAATAGTCAATGACCTCATGGACTAATGTTACGCATTGCATTGGTTACCCTTACGTTTCCTTTAATCCTTTCATACATCAAACATCTCATGTTGAGGTAGAAAGTGGTTGAATATGCATAATACATGTCCCATCTACCTCATATGACAAACATTAAACCACTCTATATCATATTCCAAATATTGAGCATAGATTTATTTTATACTGGTGTAATTTATTCTTTTTAAGCTAATTTTTATTTTTATCGTTATTTATCCGTCCTAATTAGTAGGACCTTTCAATTTTCGTTTCTCACTTCGGTAAATACCTCTTCCGTATTTCTGATTGTTATAATTTCTGTTATTATGACCCAGCTATTACTATTGCTTAGTATTCTTGGGCACTAATTCACTTGACAAGCCCCCAAACCAGAACACGGATGAGAAGGAGCGAAATTTATACTCCGAATAACAAGGGTGGATGGAAGTAGGAAGCACGATAAGAAAAGTGTTAGTACATTCATAGATTTTATATGAGATTCTAGAGTCTATTCCAAGTGTTCACTAGCGCTGGTTAGATAAGAACTAGCCGAACAACGTGCACCAACACAATCCTGCACGGAACACGAATTAATCCAATATATATTCCGCTAACGCTGATCTTAAATTGTAGAAACTTTAACCATTCTAGCGTCAGTAACTGTGAATGTACGTTTTCTTATGCGATAATAGTCACCAATTAATCAGAAGAACTAGTATCGATTGGATTAAGTCTTTGTAGTCGATCACTGAGTGCCAATTTCGAACTCCACTTTACCCACTTCGATTTGAGCAATTATTATTTATTTTAATACATAGATATTGGTACAAGGAGGTACCAAATAAATAAGCGCCACATATATCTCATTTGATTTGTCTGAGGACTGTGATACTGACGGGTGCCCAGACCGAATCAGGTGGTTGTTTTAAAGAACCACACCTGGAGCCATCGACCTAAATGTCTGATCCACAAGGTAGTGGAGCAACGTGAGGAGATGTAGTCCCATGGGAACCGGTGACCAACGATTGGTTCATATGCCATTTGTTGCTTCGGGATACCCGAGCCCATGTGCACCATTGGTTTGAAATGAGGGTTTTCCAACTCCCTTAGGTGGACTCTCCGTGTCCACCAACCTCGTTAAAGCGCCGGACCTTCCCTGTTCGTCCTC